TTGATACAAAATATATTCTTTAAATTTAATTTTGCAGTTGAAAGCTTTGCCTTAATGCGTAACACAAAGTGCGATTAATTTGTGCGGTTTATGTGACATCAATCACTCGAGCGGCCTCAAGGTGCTGCTGACAATGATATTATACCTTATATATTTGGTACAATATTATGAAAATCTATAGGAAAAGAAGTAACGATGGAAGCGTTCTTGTGGAGCTTCTTTTAGAAAATGGTATGATATCACATAAAGGTGTGATGAAAACTTCTTCGTATTTCTCTCAACTTTGCCTTTCTTGTTTTATAAAAAGTACAACGATTTAGTTTTCATATTTTTAGTAAAGTTTTCATTTTATAAAATCCTTTGACAAATTATTTTAGAAGGGCCAAGTTACTGTTATGACTAGTATAAGACTGAATTTATTTTTTTCGAAACTTTCCCGACTTCAGTTTTTGTGACCTCTGGCCGAAGTCATTTTTTAAAACATTAACAGAAACGTATTGAGTCGATCCATAAGAGACGTTGTCTACTATCTTTCGGATATCAATAACGATTTCCAAGCACTATTTCTTTAACTTTTTCGATGTTATCGTAGTTTACAAAAATGGGTAGATGACTCGCAATAGTCAACTTTTCGATGACCGCCCGACCTTCACTGACTGCTTTTTCCCACTTAACTTGTGTTCAGGATAAAGTAGACTCCTGAAATCATTTCTGTAATATTCTCTACTCAAGCTCATCATATACTGGGCAATAACGAGTGTTTTCTTAGACGTGTGGTTTTCAATGAGATGTTATTTTATTTATACTCAGTTTGGTTTGCCATTTCATAACTAACAGACCTACTACGGAATAATGTTTGCGAATCGTGATTATTTATTACCAAAATAATAGTTCGATTTGGCGATACGTACAAGATGGAGCTATATGCCATACAGCAAACAAACAATCAATTGATTGAAGGAAACTTTTGGTAAGCATTATCTTAGGCTGAGATTTAATACCGCTGGTCTAATTTTTGTGGGGCTATGTGCAATTGCTTGTCTGCGCAGATAAGCCCGAGACGATTGACGCTTTGGAAGAGAATATTCGAACGGTATTGCTGACATACGTCCACAATTTTTGCAAAAAGTGGTCGCAAATTGGGCTCCTCGGCTGGAAATTATTCGAGCCATCCATTCCGGTCGTAATGGGACCGTCATTCAGTAAATTATATGCGTTATATTTATTCTTGAAAACCTCATTCCTAAAATGAACGCTTTTTATGAACTTATTAAATTTAAATTGGACAAGCAACTAGTTTATATACGATGAACTGGTATAAACAGATGTCTTAAATGAACCCAATTTTGGAGAAAATATTTACTGAATCTAACTTAACTAAACTGAAAATGACCAAGATGACAACTCTGTAATTACAATATTTATGTTAAATTAAATACATTCAACCACGATTACACGTTTACCGCATATCATTAAAACATGCAACATATATACTATACAAATACACTTCAATAATCGCATTTACGCATAGACAAGCTGAAATTCAATATTAATTTGTGTAATTAGTTTACTCATTTTGATTTACAGATTATGTATACATGTATTTCGTCAGCCATTGTGAATCATTGAAGTACTTATAACCGCCTATTAGGTGAAGAAAGCTAGTGCTAGCACTCTGTGCAACATGTTGTGCTTGAACCGTGTTGGACCGCACCAATTATCTGACAATCATTAAATATATTAATTAATTAACAGAATTCCCACGTCGCTTATTATAATTAGTCGCACGATGATTAAGCAAAATTTCTCAGCGGACTCGTATGCGTGTGATAACTGTAGTCAGTATTCAGTAGTAAAAATGCATAGAGCGCACGCCGCACGACGAAAGTTAGCACACTTTATACATTGTTATATTTTCAAAACCTCAATGCTCCTCGGTCTATTGCCATTCAAGTATAACAAGGAAAAACAAACTTTTCGGTCTTCACGAGCCGCGCTCAGCTATAGTGTCGTAATGAACACGTTGATTTTTGTTTGGGTCGTCAAAAACTGGCCGGATGTGTCGAACTATGAGCTGTTCGTTGCGAAGCCTTTGCTTTATTTCGTGCAAATCGCCGTCAGTTATCTGAATTTCGTTGGAATGGTTCTAATCTTTTGCAGTACTTGGTCTGGTAGAAAACGTCTGTTACGGCTTTTCAATGAAATTGTCACGGTAAGACAGCTATGTGATTCGAAAGTGTTTTTACGCAATTTTGACGGCAGCTTGATGGAAAAACGCATTATACTGAAGTTTTGCTCAATGCTGTTGCAAAATATTTTATACCTCAGCTCAATGATCTATTTAAGCTACAAAATGAATGCAAATTACTTTTTGGTGCTAATTTTGGCTTTGATATTGTTAAATGAAATATTTCTGATATCGAATCAGTTCTATCACAATGCGCTCTTCATCAATCATTCCATAGTGGCTGTAAATCATCGCTTGCGTTGTTTAAATACCAAACCGCAGTTGTTGCCTGCTGGTGAGATTAATGAGATTTTCGGTATATATATACACTTGATACGCTTAATTGCGCACATAATGAAAGCCTATGAACAACAGTTACTCGTCATAATCTCAGTGCGTTTGAGCGTAGTTGTGCAGAGTCTTTTCTCTGCATGCATGCACTTCGGCGGCAAAGGATTTCAGGTAGATAAAATGGAATTGCTACAGTTCTTGCAAATTATAGTGCTAACATCCTTGGACTGTTCGCTGATAATGGGTGTTTGCGAATCGATTTGGCGCGCTCAGCAACAGACAGAAGTCGAGCTGCGAAATTTCAACAAATTTCGTATTTTGCGCGTTGGTCTGGCGAGAGATGTGAGTATAAGCGTACGACGAAGTCCAGATATCACATCTATTATAATTATACGTTTGTTTTTTACATTTTCTAGCTTAACACTTTTTCCATATTTTGCGCCATACACAAGTTTCGGTTTCCATTATGTGGCTTGTTCGAGATAAATTTTGCAACTGCACGCGGACTGTCTACTTCAGTGGTGACAGCGTTAATCTGGTTGGTTCAATATGATTTCACCACAAATATGTGAGAGGCACAGTGCAAATATACATTAATATATACAAGTTGTGAAATGACTTTTAATACGTTATATTACTGTTTAAAAGGAAGATGGGCAATTGAAAGACGACTTTATTGTTCTTCATAATATTTTTAGTTATAGGCAATACATGGTATTTTTGCAATTCCAGATAACGTCTGGTTATAATACCTCTGACAGGTGCATTTCTTATTACGTACAAGAACATTGTCATAAGCGATCCACTTTTCATCATCAGCAAATATCCGCTTTGGGGATGCAAGTTAGGTCGACTCCGGGCATTGCATTCTGGGTATGTAGAATAGTAAAAACGACAACAATGAAACGGATGTGTGTGGATATGGTTCTAAGCCGAACTTGAAATCAGATAGAGTCCCGGGTGAATCACTGCCTGGAGGGACGGAATCGTCCTTCACGAAAGGCAGCGAAGGAACTTTCCTTTTGAAACCGAAAGAATGGTAAGCCAGTTCTCTCTCAATATCGTTGTTTTTGGGTGTTTAATCGTCGGCTGGAGCATATCGTCGTTCTCGTTAAAATATATAATAGTTTAAACTGAATAAAACCTTCCCTGCCACCCATGCCCCGAGTATGAGAAGCTTCATCCTACACACCTACGAGTACAATTGAGTTAGTAATTTCACGTAATAATGAATACGGATTTTAAGCACACTTTTTTGGTGGTCTTTTACTTCGAACTTTCGAGGTATTTTACTTTCCTTAAATTTTTACTTTTTTGCGTGATACGTAATATTCGGTTTCACTCTTCAACAATGATGACCCTTAGTGTTTTTTAGCTGTTGTCCAAACCCTTTCGATAAGTTTCTCTATCGCCTATTAAGGACGATATTACTAATTCGCCCTACTGCAGTTCACACATGTTACTTATGGGGAATACCAGTTGGACCTATGCGATCGTTTACCACTTTTCTTATCGCGTATCTCAGAAAAGCAAAAAGAGCTCGTGAAATCGATTCTACGTCAATTAATTAAGAGTGCATGTCATGTGCCCATCTATTTACTTTAAGCTCAGTATACCAAAATTAGCACCACACACTAGGGTGTCCTTCTATATCTTGGGATTAAAGAATAGCAACCAATATTAATCATCGAAAATCGTTTTATTTCTGATTGAGGTATCTCTGAAACGTACATTCTGAACACATCAACCGACCCTTCAGGTGTCGAAAAACACGACACGAGCCTTTTTTGGAGCGATTGAAAAGTTGTTGGGATCCGATGTGAACAATTTTGTTTACAATCATATGTTCAATATTGCCATATTGAATGTGTGCTATTCCCACTTATGTCAATAGTTCTCTGATAGTTCATGATAAGTCACATAACGATCTTGTAATGTCAGTTTGCGTGCAGCATCAAAACTTTCGGAAACAATAACTGATTTTGGACCACCTTCATGAAGTTCGTCTTGGAGTGATCTAATAACTTGATTGAAAGTACCGGATAATCGATAAACACTGGTTGAAAGTTGTAAAAAATAATCGCCAGAAAATGTTCGCGATTAAACTTCATTTTTTGGCCGTGCTGAATATTTTAAATTACTGTAAACAACACAAAAAGCGTGAGTATTTATAACATCAAAACAAACTTCACAATAAATTTGTGAGTTGCCAGATTGCAACATCAGGGTTGCCAAATCCCGAAATATAAAAGGCAACCCACGTACCACAAGCCAAACACACACTGTGCAAACATTCAAGCCACGACCTGGTGGGTATGTTCACTCAATTAATTATGATAGCTTCTTATCTGATAGCGTTGTACAGTGTTATGGCGTACCACTTAGTTCATTTAGTAATTATTTGACCACAAGTGTTTTGGATATTCGTAAGTGTACATTTTTACACCAAATGCAGTTACCGTTTGCTTTTCACGAACGAATAATGGGTCAACGGCTTCGGAAGCGCATTTCAAATGGTTTACTCAGAACAACAGTTGTGTCTTCCATCTGCTTTGGTCTGCTACCATTTTACTACAATAAGCAGCAACAACGCTTCGTCTCTTCAAAACCGTTAATAATTTATAATATCTGCATTAATGTCACATTTCTCATCATCATAGCGTTTCTTTTGCCGATATTTTCCGATTTCGATGACGCTTTTGGATCTGGCGATCCACTCGCCGAACTACTAAATCGCCTAACTGTATACATCGGTTTTGCTGGCATCCTAACAACTTGGTGGATTAATTGGACCAGCCGTCAGCGACAGCAGCAGCTGTTCAATGAGTTTGCTAAAATCGAAATCGATTACTTATATCGATATAAACATTTTACCGATGAATGTGCGACTTTCGATTATTGTGTGATTTGGAAAGTTTTCGCGACCTTTCTACAAAACTTATCGTTCTTCTACAGCACCGCGGCAGCTGATAGCCCCGGCAGCTTATTCATTATATTCATTTCTCTAATGGCATTGCTTACGAATGTAATTTTCCTCGTTTCAACACACTTCTTTCTGGCCGTATTGTTTACTTATCGTTTTATTTGGGTCTTGAATCGGCGTTTGGCAAGTACGGCCGACAACGAGGTGTCATCACGTCAGCGTCGGCTTTTGAGCAGAGAAATCGATAACATTGCTTACATTTACACACGTTTTATTCGGCTGTGTGAGCACTATACACGCATACATCAATACCAACTGGTGCTGTTAATCGATGACCATTTACAATATCGAAGTGCTATTCTACGTGCGTCTGCTTTGGAGCGGCAAAGTGCGGGAGTTGACTGCCTTCAATGTTTTTGCGATACTGCAAATAGCTGTTGTAAATATATTGGACTTTTGGTTGACAATAACAATTGGTGAGCTGGCGTTGGTTACGTCGCAACAAACGCTGGAAATACTACGTGGATTCAATGAGAAACCCAAGTATCCGATAGACTGGGAGCGAAAGCGTGCAATTTTATTTAATATAAAATATATTCTTGTATTTAAATTTTAATTTTTGCAGTTGGAATGCTTTGCCTTAATCTGCCGTAACACAAAGTTGCGATTTGATTTGTGCGGTTTATGTGACATCAATCATTCGAGCGGCCTCAAGGTGCTGCTGACAATGATATTATACCTTATATATTTGGTACAATATTATCATGAAAATCTATAGAAAAAGGAAAGTAACCGATGGGAAGCGTTCTTGTGGAGCTTCTTTTAGAAAATGGTATGATATCACATAAAGGTGTGATGAAAACTTCTTCGTATTACTGGGTACAAATAATAATTCTTAACTTTGCCTTTCCTGTTTTATAAAAAATTGTTTCATTTATAAAATCCCTTAACAAATTCATTTAGAAGGGCCAAGTTACTTTTATGACTAGTATAAGTCCGAATTTATTCTTTTCGAAACTTTCCCGTATTTGCCGGTTAGATTACTAAACTCCTAATTTTTAAGTGCATTTTTTAGGTATACTTAAATAAAATACGGCCGAAAGTGACAACCCTATTAATATGAAGCACGTAAAACTCACACTTACTAGACAATTGAAATCACTTTCTCTTACTATGTTCTTCCAAGCAATGTTGCTCCTTCTCCTGAAAAATCAATGCTCATCCTTGGAGAATATATTTACTGAATCTAACTTATTTATGGTAAATTAAATACATTCAACCACGATAACACGTTTACCGCATATCACTACAACATGCAACATATATACTATATATTTCAATAATCGCATTTACGCATAGACAAACTGACATTAAAAATTCATTTGGGTAATTAATTTACTCATTTTGATTTACGGATTCTGCATACATGTATTTTGTCAGCCATTGTGAATCATTCAGGTACTTATAACCGCCTATTTGGTGAAGAAAGCTTGTCTTAGCACTCTGTGCAACATGTTGTGTTCGAACCGTGTTGGACCGCACCAATTATCTGACAATCATTAAATATATTCATTAATTAACACAATTCCCACGTCGCTTATTATAATTAGTCGCACGATGATTAAGTAAAATTTCTCAACGGACTCGTATGCGTGTGGTAACTGTAGTCAGTATTCAGTAGTGAAAATGCATAGAGCGCACGCCGCACGAGGAAAGTTCGCACACTTTATAAATTATTATATTTTCAAAACGTCAATGCTCCTCGGGTTATTGCCATTCAAATATACAAAAGAAAAAAACACTTTTCGGTCTTCACGAGCCGCGCTCAGCTATAGTGTCGTAATGAACACGTTGATTTTTGTTTGGGTCGTCAAAAACTGGCCGGATGTGTCGAACTATGAGCTTTTCGTTGCGAAGCCTTTGCTTTATTTCGTGCAAATCGCCGTCAGTTATCTGAATTTCGTTGGAATGGTTCTAATCTTTTGCAGTACTTGGTCTGGTAGAAAACGTCTGTTGCGGCTTTTCAATGAAATTGTCTCTGTAAGACAGCTATGTGATTCGAAAGTGTTTTTACGCGAATTTGACGGCAGCTTGATGGAAAAACGCATTATACTGAAGTTTTGCTCAATGTTGTTGGAAAATATCTTATACCTCAGCTCAATGATCTATATAAGCTACAAAATGAATGCAAATTACTTTTTGGTGCTGCTTTTGAATCTAATATTGTTAAATGAAATATTTTTGATATCGAATCAGTTCTATCACAATGCGCTCTTCATCAATCATTCCATAGTGGCTGTAAATCATCGCTTGCGTTGTTTAAATACCAAGCCGCAGTTGTTGTCTGCTGGTGAGATTAATGAGATTTTCGGTATATATATGCGTTTGATGCGCTTAATCGCGCACATAATGAAAGCCTATGAACAACAATTACTCGTCATAATCTCAGTTCGTTTGAGTTTAGTTGTGCAATGTCTTTTCTTCACATGCATGCACTTCGCCGGTAAAGGATTGCAGGTAGATAAAATAGAATTGCTACATTTCGTGCAAATTATAGTGCTAAACTCCTACGACTGTTCGCTGATAATGGGTGTTTGCGAATCGATTTGGCGCGTTCAGGAACAGACGGAAGTCGAGCTTCGAAATTTCAACAATTTTCGTATTTTGCGCCTTGGTCTGGCGAGAGATGTGAGTATAAGCGTACTAGGAAGTCCAGATATCCCAGCTATTATAATTATACACTTTTTTTTTTACTTTTTCTAGCTTAACACTTTTTCCACATTTTGCGGCATACGCAAGTTTCGGTTTCCACTATGTGGCTTGTTCGAGATAAATTTTGCAACTGCACGCGGACTGTCTACTTCAGTGGTGACAGCGTTAATCTGGTTGGTTCAATATGATTTCGCCACAAATATGTGAGAGACAGAGTGCAAATATACGTTAATTTATTCAAGTTGTGAAATGACTTTTAATACGTTATATTACTGTTAAAAGGAAGATGGGCAATTGAAGACGACCTTATTGTTCTTCATAATATTCTAAGTTATAGGCAATATATGGTATTTTTGCGTTTCCAGATAACGTCTGGTTTTAATATCGTTCCACTTTTCATCACCAGCAAACATCCGTTTTTGGGATGAAAGTGAGGTCGACTCCGGGCGGGCAAGCCGAACTTGAAGTGTCCCGGGTGAATCACTGCCTATCCAGAACGAAAGACAACGAAGGAACTTTCTTTTTGAAACCGAAAGGAATGGATAAGGCTGAAGTCCGAAGCGAAATTGCCAGCTGCTGTTCGACAGCTGTTACATGACCTATTATTATTCAGTTTGGTTTGCCATTTCATAATTAACAGACATTCTATGGAACAATGTTTGCGAATCGTGATTATTTATTACCAAAATAACAATTCGATTTGGCGCTGCGTCCAGCATAGTCGCCAATTCGAGGAACCATGGATCGGTTTCGCACCACTTTTACTCTAGTGGAAAATTTGCATCCTCAAAAATGTGCTGATCTAACAGAAGACCCGAATGAGTCTATCCGCTATAGCGTGCAACAATTAGATTTGTACCCATCCACTTTATGGAACGACCATCAAGTGCGTCGCATGTTCGGGGAAAGGAAATCATTGAATCATATGATATTGCGGTGCGCAATTGCATATGGCTGCAAAAAGTGGTCGAAAATTGGGCCCCTCGGCTGGAAATAATAGGAGCCATTCATATTCTTGAAAACCACATGTCTGAAATAAACACCCTTTGTGAACTAATTAATATTAAATCGGACAAGCGCTAGTATAAATACAATAAACTGGTATAAACAGATGTCTTAAATGCCTCCCAATTTTCTCTTCTCTCTCTTTCAAATGACTTGTAGTTTTTCGATAAGTGGCTACCCCATTAATATGTAGCACGAAAAACTTACACTTACTAGATGATTGAAATCACTTTCCCCTACTATCTTCTTCCAAGCCATGTTGCTTCTTCTCCAAAAAATATCAGTGCCCATTTCAGCCTAATATATTTACTAAATCTAACTTAATTAAACTGAAAATATCACTAAAACATGCAACATATAATATATACTATAAATTTCCATAATCGCATTTACGCATAGACAAACTGACATTAAAAATTCATTTGGGTAATTAATTTACTTATTTTGATTTACAGATTATGTATACATGTATTTCGTCAGCCATTGTGAATCATTCAGGTACTTATAACCGCCTATTTGGTGAAGAAAGCTTGTGCTTGTGAAAACTCTGCTGCTTGTAAAAACTCTGTGCAACATGTTGTGCTCGAACCGTGTTGGACCGCACCAATTATCTGACATTCATTAAATACATTAATTAATTAATTGAACTCCCACGTCGGATATTATAATTAGTCGCACGATGATTAAGCAAAATTTCTCAACGGACTCGTATGCGTGTGATAACTGTAGTCAGTATTCAGTAGTGAAAATGCATAGAGCACACGTCGCACGTCGAAAGTTCGCACACTTAATACATTATTATATTCTTAAATGCTCAATACTCCTCGGACTATTGCCATTCAAGTATAACAAGGAAAAACACACCTTTCGGTCTTCACGAGCCGCGCTCAGCTATAGTGTCGTAATGAACACGCTGCTTTTTGTTTGGGTCGTTACAAATTGGCCGGATATATGGCACTCCGAGCTTTTCGTTGCGAAGCCTTTGCTTTATTTCGTACAAATCGCCGTCGGTTATCTGAATTGCGTTGGAATGGTTCTAATCTTTTGCAGTACTTGGGCTGGTAGAAAACGTCTGTTGCGGCTTTTCAATGAAATTGTCTCTGTAAGACAGCTATGTGATTCGAAAGTGTTTTTACGCAATTTTGACGGCAGCATGATGGAAAAACGCATTATACTGAAGTTTTGCTCAATGTTGTTGCAAAATATTTTATACCTGAACACTTTGATCTTTATGAACAACAAAATTGATGGGAATTACTTTTTGGTGTTAATTTTGGCTCAAATATTTTTGAATGAAATATTTCTGATATCAAATCAGTTCTATCACAATGCGCTCTTCATCAATCATTCCATAGTGGCTGTAAATCATCGCTTGCGTTGTTTAAATACCAAACCGCAGTTGTTGCCTGCTGGTGAGATTAATGAGATTTTTGGAATATATATGCGTTTTGATGCGCTTAAATCGCGCACATAATGAAAGACATTGCACAACTAAACTCAAACGAACTGAGATTATGACGAGTAATTGTTGTTCATAGGCTTTCATTATGTGCGGATTAAGCGTATCAAGATATATATATTCCAAAAATCTCATTAATCTCACAGCAGCAACAACTGCGGTTGGTATTTAAACAACGCAAGCGATGATTTACAGCCACTATGGAATGATTGATGAAGAGCGCATTGTGATAGAACTGATTGATATCAAAAATATTTCATTAAAATATTAGATTCAATTAACACACAAAAAGTAATTCATCAATTTTGTGTTATAAGATCAAGTGTTCAGGTATAAAATATTTTCCAACAACATTGAGCAAAACTTCAGTATAATGCGTTTTTCCATCAAGCTGCCGTCAAATTCGCGTAAAAACACTTTCGAATCACATAGCTGTCTTACAGAGACAATTTCATTGAAAAGCCGCAACAGACGTTTTCTACCAGACCAAGTACTGCAAAAGATTAGAACCATTCCAACGAAATTCAGATAACTGACGGCGATTTGACGAAATAAAGCAAAGGCTTCGCAACGAAAAGCTCATAGTCGCAATATCCGGCATTTTTGACGACCAAAACAAAAACACGTGTTCATTACGACACTATAGCTGAGCGCGGCTCGTGAAGACCGAAAAGTGTTTTTTTCTTTTGTATATTTGAATGGCAATAACCCGAGGAGCATTGACGTTTTGAAAATATAATAATTTATAAAGTGTGCGAACTTTCCTCGTGCGGCGTGCGCTCTATGCATTTTCACTACTGAATACTGACTACAGTTACCACACGCATACGAGTCCGTTGAGAAATTTTACTTAATCATCGTGCGACTAATTATAATAAGCGACGTGGGAATTGTGTTAATTAATGAATATATTTAATGATTGTCAGATAATTGGTGCGGTCCAACACGGTTCGAACACAACATGTTGCACAGAGTGCTAAGACAAGCTTTCTTCACCAAATAGGCGGTTATAAGTACCTGAATGATTCACAATGGCTGACAAAATACATGTATGCAGAATCCGTAAATCAAAATGAGTAAATTAATTACCCAAATGAATTTTTAATGTCAGTTTGTCTATGCGTAAATGCGATTATTGAAATATATAGTATATATGTTGCATGTTGTAGTGATATGCGGTAAACGTGTTATCGTGGTTGAATGTATTTAATTTACCATAAATAAGTTAGATTCAGTAAATATATTCTCCAAGGATGAGCATTGATTTTTCAGGAGAAGGAGCAACATTGCTTGGAAGAACATAGTAAGAGAAAGTGATTTCAATTGTCTAGTAAGTGTGAGTTTTACGTGCTTCATATTAATAGGGTTGTCACTTTCGGCCGTATTTTATTTAAGTATACCTAAAAAATGCACTTAAAAATTAGGAGTTTAGTAATCTAACCGGCAAATACGGGAAAGTTTCGAAAAGAATAAATTCGGACTTATACTAGTCATAAAAGTAACTTGGCCCTT